ATGCAGAGAGCCATATGTATTTATCCCTTACTTATTCATGTGCACCTCCGACTTTCTCTCCACAACAAATGGGACATGTGTGCTGCCATTTACTCAAGACCGTTCCGATTTTCACTTGGGGCTTTTTGTGTAATGATCTTTGAGATCTGATCACAGCTGATCTATTCTGCTCCGTTCAGAGGCTTGTCTCTCACACACACACACACACACACACACACACACACACCACACTGATGGGGCTCTGGCAGCATTCCAGCTGTAATTCTGTCTGAACTCCCCATTCTGGCTTCATTATCACTGGACCTCTCTTTACAGTGAGGAGAGAACACAGCCTGCTGTCAGCCTGGGTCAAGGGGCCAGACAAGATTCTGGCTACACACACGTGTGTGTGTGCGTGTGCGTGCAAGCAACCAGGGGTCATTCAGGGCAGCTTGAGTTTCTCTTCAAGTGTCTGAGTTGGTCCTCATTATCGGCTGCTGCGCGTGAAAGCAGGTACGCAGACGCATGTGTATGTTTGTGTGTGCGTTTGTGTTTTAGCCTGTGTGTATTAGTGAGCAGCTGGTCATCAGGTGGCGCATACCTGCTCCACTTCCCTAAAAGACCCCGAGCTCATTGTGCTCTAGCCAGCAGCTTATTACTTGTGTGTGTGTGTGTGTGTGTTTCCTTTTATAGCAATATAGCAGCTTTCAGGGCTGCTGCCTCCCGCTGAGCTTCTATATTCTGTTTCACTGACCACTGGTCTACTTTTGCATACTTTAGTTTACTGAATGTCTACGGCACCACATTCGCTGCTTGTCTTTGTCTCTCTCACTCGTCATGCCTGATCTGGTTTAATGAGCAACAACATAGACTCCCTGTCCTTTCATTCATCTGTCCATCCCTTCATCCCTCTCTTCTCCGCCCCTCCTCAGCATGGCAGCCTGTCACAAGTTCAGAGCTCCCAGACCTTTGGGCTTTAATTTCGGCCTGACTTCCACTCTGTCTCCGTCCATTTTTTATCGGATTTCTTTGTGTGCGTGTGTGACTGTCTGTGTACGTGCTTATTGTGTAATTATTTAGGCACTGTGTGGCATATGTACATGCCCACTGGCAGACGTAATGCCCGCTTGAGGACTCTGCATGATGACTTGTTTCTCGAGGCCTTACAATGAGGTACTGGCTAAATCTGAAAGACATGCAACACGTAATGAAGATTCTCTGTTTGGAGTTATGTGTGATGTCATGTTACCGGACAAAAGCTATTTAAAGAGGATGAGCTGAGCATGTTGTGATCTTCATTGCTTACATGCCAATTTAGAGACAATATTGAGAACATTTTGAAATAGTTTACAGACTAAATGGATATTAACTGCAATCAATTTAAAATTTAATGTAATTATCAGCTTATGGGTTATTAGTAAAATTGTACTTTGTTACGTAGCGTCCCTCCGAATCATTTGTTTTTTTCTAGATTCTTTTTAATCTTCTGCAAATCATTTCAAGAGGAAGGAAGGAGGAAGAGAAAAGCTTTCCTATTTCTACCCAAACATAACTACTTTCACACAATCCTCCCACACTGCAGCTGCATTATAAATGGCAGCCAACAGCTGGAGGCGCAGAATGACTGACGGTTTCGCTCTCACTGTCTTTGTCCACAGGGGCGCACCCTTCCCCGAAGCCCCCTCGGCAGCGTGGAGCAGAAATCTGTGCCAGCAACTCCATCAGTTTGCATGTTCTGGCTCCCCCGGGTTCCCCCACCGCCGCGCCGCAGTCCTCTGCTCCGGATGGTCTGACACCGTTAGGAAATGCGTGTGGCCATCGGTCACAGATCCCGATGAGGGATGGACGGATGAGACGCACCCCGCTAACGGGATTCCAATGTGAAGGAATTAATAATAGCTACAATTCGCTTTCACCAGCTTTCACTGACATTATGTTCTGTATGTAACATTTGGTCCAACCAACAAATCAACATGGCGTCGAGCTGTCCTCCTGCTGGATGTCCAAGGTGACTCCCTCCACACACGGTTCCATAAGGATTCCATCGGACCTCTTTTCTTTCTGAGCCATTAACTTTCCGCTGTCATCTGCACTTTCCATTACATTTTTCATTTCTACCGAAACATTGACTATTGTTGTCGCTATTTTTTTTGCATGTCGCTTTGCGCCTCTCCCCTCCCACGCCTCAAATCTGCCCTTCAATGCTTTTACCTGAGCAATTAAAAAATCAGATTTCGACCATGGTGAAAAGTGTTTTCATTTGTCACGTTTTTCCCGCTTCAAAGTAGCTGTCATTGTTTAGCTCTTTACCTCTCACTCACTTCCCTAACAGCTCCTCTGTGCTCACCCACGTTCCTCTCCCCTTTTCCTCGCTGTGCTACTCCGAAACCAACGCACACTTCCGGCTCCTCTTGTCTTTCATACTGCTTCCCTTTCGTTCCCTCTGTCCACTCTCTCTCTCTCTCTCTCCATCTCAGCCTCATCCCTCTCTCCTAGCTCCTCTCTTTCCCCTGTAGACCTCAACCTTTCCCTTGTTGTAGCCCCTCTTACTCCTTTTTACAGTTTGATTACCTGATTGGCACGGCAGTGCGTCATGAACCAAAGCAGTAGGGCAGGCGGTCACCTCCAAAGTGTCGATATCTCTCACCTTACGGGCCCATCCCTTTTCTGGCCACTCATTGCCACCGTTCACATAGTTACTCCCCATTGCTTCCTGTTCATTCGCACTGCGTGATGTCATGCTTTGTAGTTTTGCTGTCTCATCTGTGTCACCACTTCCTGGTGCGTGCGGGTGGGACAGGCTGGGCACAGGAACCAGATTTCAAATTCAAATTATAATTGAACATACTTCTTATATCTGTGGTATTTTGTAATACAGGTCCTCACACCCGGGCTTTAACAATAAATGGAACCCCCCCACCCCCCTTATTTTGTCTCCTTCTCTGCTGTCCGCTGACCTGGATCAGTCTTTCCATTCTGGCCCCTTCTCAACCCAGATCAAACAGACCTTTCACACAGACACCTACACACACACACACACACATGTAAACATGGAATGGTCTTTTCCTTTTCTTGGAACCCTTACTGGAAATTAGCTTCTTCACATCTGGATCAAGTGTCTGGTTATGGACGTGTCGGTTGTGTCCATGGAATTCCTCAGTAATCTAACGAGCGGTTGTTCGTTGCGTGGAGACGATAATGGGCTGTAGAAAGTATGAATCACATTTTGGAAGTGGGTGCTTCGGTTTTTGTTTACACTGAATTCACAATGTTTTCATGGGGCCCACGACAAAGCACATTGAGCGTTATTGACTAGACGGTCCTGAAAATAGTTATGATTTGTATCCATCCAAAAGACTCATTGGTATTTTTACATCCTCTTTTTAGAAAATTAGATTTGCCCTTGGTTTACCTCACTGAGAAACGTTCTCACAGTAGGAAGACACACACACACACACACACACACACGCAAACAATGTAGTTAATCAAGGTGAGGTGAAGGATACTTTAATGCTAATCTGCATTCCTCCGAAGCTGAAAAAGAGGACGGAGGGAGGCAGCGACCGGGGGAGGAGTGAAGATATTCAAAACAAATGAATTCTAATGAAGCTTCACACAGACACACAAGACGTTTGGAGTCGCTCAGCGTTGTTAGAAGGACGGACTTCCCCTCTAGAAAGGACTCTGCCCAAGGTCTTGAAAGGGGGGGGGAGAAAAAAACCCCCGGGGCCGGGGAGAAAGGGGCCCGGAAAGGAAAATGGTTAAGTAATGGGAGACGGGACCCAAACCGGGGGAGGAGGGTTGGAGGGGGGGGGGGGGGGCTCAAGGTTGTATTCAGGAGTGAGGATTGTCTCCCTGAAAGACAGACCCCGAATCTCCTCAGTTTAAGAGCCTCTTTATTAGGCCAACGTCTCTCGCCCTCTCTTTCTCTCTCTCTCTTTCTGTGTGTGTGTGTGTGTGTGTGTGTGTGTGCACACACTGGTGGTCCCTGGTTGGGTTGGGACGGGGCACTTGCAGCAACATGTCGAATTCGAATTCAAATTGGCTTATTCTCAGGCCTGGCTGAAACAGAAATATCAGACTTTAACCTTTTAATAAAGAAGCTGCAATGAACCGGATCGTCAACGCGGTTTGGAAACATTTTCGATGTTTTTGTTCTGCGGTGAAAATCAACCTTCCGGTCTAACATTTGAATAGGATTTGCGTATTCCAGGACATGAATTCAGTATCCAAAGTGTTGTGGCTGCTATGGTTTTAAAATGTGAACATTTGCATTGTCGGTATCTCCTCTAAAAGAGCATGTTCCAGGATGCAGCCACGGTTTTCAAATGCTTCCAGACTGCAGAAATATTCATTTCTTCAGGGCAACTTTTAAAGAGCTGTTAAACAGCAGCTTCTACACTTCCCACAGTTTTTTTTTTTACATTTATTGAATATCTGCTTTTTCGTGCATCAAAGACCAATGGAAACTTTTTCTCGAGATTTGGACACCGGTTTGAAAAAGTGGTCCGTCACATTAGAAATGTCCAGTCTGATCATGCTGTTAAATTTAAATCATGGGGAACCTTTGACAGCACCTGAAGCACCTCGAGGAGCCATGTGAGCCTCTGTGTGGGAGCTGCTGGCGTGATGGCTTTACCTCGTGCTGTAACTGGATTTCCCAGCATACTCCTGCCCCTGCTGTCAGTTTCTTGGAAATGAACAGGAACTTAAAAAGATAACAATACTCCTCCAGCGCACAGGGTTTGATTCCTCAAGTGGCTTTTCGGCCCACTTGGTGACTATACCTCCAGCTCAGGGCTCGACTTGTTCCAACTACTTATCAGGGGGGGGGGGGGGGGGTCTGGGGTCCGTTTGTGTTCCACTGAATTGCACTTAATAATGGAATACGGTTGAGTTGTACAGTGTATTTGCCAGTGACTATGGAGGCGGGGCAGTTAATGTCCAAAACTCTTCCACCGAAAATAAACCTGCATTAGGGGAGAGAGAGAGAGAGTGGAAGAGGGGAGGGAGGAGGAGGAAGGGAAAGAGCCTTTGCAACGGGGGACAGAAGGGAAAGAGTCTCCGTTTCAATGGAATACAAACTGCGCATTTCTTTGCGGACTGCGTGCTCGGATCGCGGTGGATCGGACCTCCAGGAAATGGACATCAGCTGTGCGTGGAAACGAGCTTTGCAATCATTTGGAAAAGGCGCTATGACTGTGCAGAGGTGCGAGATCAGTGATGAGTCCACCCGTCATGTCTTTGCCCACGGGCGGACACATCAACGTGTCCTCAGCCCGGGCTGCGATCGATCTGTACGGGGCTGCCCGTGTCGACATTTGCGCCTAAACGCGTTACGGATTTTGAACAGGGTTTTTCTTTTTTTGGGGGGGAGAGGGCTTTTATGGGGCTGCGTCATCCGTGGCTAGGAAAAAAAAAAGATGGTCTGCTTTGCAGAATTTCCTCTATTACACTGTTTCAACCGCGAAGGGTCAAGCCGGTAACGTTGCCGCACATTGTGGATTGCGCATAGAAAGGTAAGCCTATAACGTATATGACACTAATCGGGCACACACGCTGGCATGTGAGGCGGTAAAAGGCGGTGTTACCTAATTGCAACTGGGGAACCAATGAGACTCCATTGAAAACAACCTGAACTACAGTATCCTCACCCTGTAATAAAACCTAAAGGAGGCGATCGGCATGCAATACAAGACGATCTGGATCCCCGTGGAGGCAATTATTATTGTTATTAAGTATATTCAACTTGCTGTTTTTGCAGAGCAAAAACATCATGCATTTACATGAAAACAGGAGGTGACCGTCTTTTAAATGTGCTGATTTGATGGTGTTATATAAGCACGTCTACGATGTAATGAGTATACCATGAACTTTACGCACAATAGCGCCGATAAGTTAAGACACTGCAGCAGTTATTGCTGCGTGGCTTGACAGCTGTTTTGCCCCAAATTATATTAAGTGTTCGTGATGTCACGTTTTTACCGTAAGGAAGGCATAGTTTTCGGGCAGGTAGGTCAAGAGTTTGTAATGGCGCAATCGCCGTGCGTACATCACGGTTATTTTGTTTTTTAAATGTCATGGGAAAAATGTGACGCGTATACGTGGGTGTGATGTATAACGTGTGGCTTGGATATTTTGCTGGCCGGGGGCAGAAGATTGGCCTACGGGAATTTAAAAAGATCGGCTCTGGGGTTGGCGGAAAGGGGTGTCGCATTTTCTTTCCGAAATGTCATGTGGTGAAGTTGTGGCGGGTTCTCGACCATTTCCAGGAAGAGCGTTTGAATTTTCTTCTCGAGAATGTGTGTGTGCGTCGTCTCCACCCCTCTCTTTGCTGTCCCCGGAGCACTTTGGACATGCTGCCGCTGGACGGCGATCCAGGACCGCGAGTCCATTAGACCACTTCTAGGCGTGTATGGGATCAGACGTGCCGAAGATACACGAGGGTGAAAGAAGGCAGCTGATTGAAAACTCGCCACCGTCAAAGAAGTTTTGAAAGTAGCCAAAAGAATATCTTGCAGAAATATATATTTTTTCTGATTCATTCTTTTTACAATAGGCAGCATAACACACTCCCAGCCAGCTGGAGGCGCTAATGCGTAAATGCCGCTTGCAAAGTGGAGACGTTTTCCTCACATGCAGGCCAATCGCATGGACGCCTTCATTTACGTTAGTGGCGGAGCTTGCATTTCAAATACCAGGGTTTTTATGTCGCACCATGAAGGCTATTCGAATGAAATTATCAAGCAACGATACCAGTTAAACTTCCCCGGGTAGTAGCGGTGGATGCTGCCCATCTTTCTGATGTGGTCCTGGACCAGGTAGCCAGAGACGGGTGGATAAAGTCACTCATTTTAGCATGATTTTAAATTAGTTTTAAAGTTTTTTTTGAGTGGGTGATATGCTATGTGTTCACATTAAAACGTGACAAAATCAAGTGAAGGATGTCCCACAATGCAGCGTGACGCAGGAGAGCAACGCACAGCTGCAAATAGTTCACACTAATTGTGTGGACAGACAGCTCCCGGAGAAGAAGGAGAAGCAAAAGGGGGAGAAAACAAAACACATGTCACGTTAGCTTTATTGTACTTGCACCTAAATACAAACGCTGCGTTGTGCTAATGTAACGGCGCACATTTGACTGTTGGCTACAAAGCGGTGCCTCTACGCAGGTACGTGTCATTGCGCTGTTACACGAACGCACACGAACCCACGGGTTTGGGCATTTAGCGCATGTGTCCACTGGTAGCAAACGTTGTGTTTTTGCGCATTTAATCAATGTAGCTCACGAGGTCTGTGTGATAGGTTGAAGTAAACTTAAGTGAACTAGTATGTGAAACATGAACGTGATTTGATTCTGAAGCAATAAAAACGTGACGTATTTGTCGGGGCAGTTCGCGGGCCGTCGAACACTGCAAAGCTTTCTATATTAAAAACTTACTACACCCCCCACAATGAAATTAATATCACACATTGCACCTTTCTCGTGGTAAAAAGTCTATAAAACAATACACCCGTTTACCAAAATGTACGCAATGGCCATTTGAGCCATTGAGATGTATTGTGTATAAGCTACACAGTCCTACAATGACGTACAGTAATACATTGGATGTGTATACCTCCTTTTTAACATTCAAAAATCTCAGGGACATTTAGTCCCAAATAAATAAAGCAGCTGCTTCCCCTTTGATGGATGAGGAGCATCCCAACTGTGGTTTTCTGCCTGCTGCTCTTCTACAACTAAAATTTCATTCAGACGACAAATCCAAAAGGTGTTTCGGCTCTACTGACCAGTGGGAGCAATGGGAGACCAGTTGCACGCACGGGAGCAATGCCATGTCAACACTGACATGGATGCACCAGTATTCAAATTGCAAGAGTGCCAATTCGCCCCTAGATGGCGACATTTTTGCAGTCCCAACACACATCACAGTGTGACCTTGGGGAACAGCTGCTAATTTCTCACAGTGAAGGGCTGGATAGAAGGATGTGTTCTCTCTCCACGCCCCCATACAGACATGCATCCAGCCATACATACATAACATCTCCCAGCTTTTCCACCCAAATGGCCATGCAGCTTATTGTAAATTATGTGAATACGTGTGTTCTTTTCCATATTGATGAGTGTAACCACATGTTTATCCTCAACTTGATTGCTTTTTATTTACATTTTTTTGATGTTCGAAAATGTCAATACATGAATTGCTTTTTCATTTGCAGAGAAGGAGTGAGGACAATGGCAAAGCGTCGTTGGGGTTTGCTTGAAGAACTCCCGGCCCCTGACTGAAGCCATGAGTGAAATGTCTCGCCTGCTGTATTCAAGAATGGCCCAGCGTCTAACTGCCATTTCTGCTTTTACTCCGGAAACGACGCCATTATTTAGTGATGGTATGATAAGATTTTTAAAATTATTTCATTTAGCTTTACCATAAGTGAAATATCTACTTCATATACATTTCTCGCCAGATTCAATTAGACCTACTATTAAATTCATCGAATTTTAGTCAATGTTTTTTTTAAATGTATTGAATAACATTTAAAGGTATTTTCCCACCGCTGAGCTGATAAATGATGGCACAGAACAGCAGACTAATTGGACTGATCCGTATCAGAACCATTGTTTACTTGCTGTGTTTTTCTGCAGGGGAGCCATCTGCATCTCTGCTTCAAGCACCCAGCTTTCCAGGTAAGACTTTTGACCCTTTACCCAGAATTGAACCTGCGTGACACTAGGGATGTGCGTGACTTCCTGGTTTATTCATTTTGGGAGGTCTGTCATTCCTGTTTGGTCTGTCCAGCAGATATTTTTTCCTGAATGTTTTTCAGAACAATAAAATGTTTGACTCGCTCAAATGTTTGGAATCGAACCAGAAAATGGGTACAATATGTTCATCTACAATCTCCGTTACTGTGTTCAAGAAAATCCAATGATTTTGCACTGTTTGAAGTTATACTTATTGATTCTTTTTACCATTTGTAGTTGGGGCTGGTAGTTTTTAGTCCAAAGGTGTGTTTTATTCGGGGGAGTTATTGAGAATACATTTTCTTACACAAAGCCACACCAAAAGATTTCCTCTGTTCTTTATTGCTGCTGGATTTCTAGCTTCCACTCTGCTTTAGTGGCATCTGTTGTATTGGATTGGATTTAATTCATAACTTGTTAGCTATTGACGCTTTAAATTCATCAAGTGTAGCTCAGGTCTGTCTGTCTACTTCAAAGAGGAGTTACCATTTTCAACACTGCTACTAAATCCATTGGGACTGGGGCCACAGACACACACACACACACACACACACACACACTGCAGCTGCATCCTTTCAAAACCCTTATTTAAGCTTATACACACCTAACACCAGCTCCGTTTCATTTTCACACACAGTTCTCAAACACTCATGACACACATGTCAAACACACCAACACCTTTCTCACTCACTGTTTTGATGTGCGGACACACACACACACACACACACAATCTCTCTCTCTCTCGCGCTAATGCTGCCGTCTCCCAGGATCCCGCCGAGCCTCACACACCTGGGGTTTTCCATCACTTAGCCTGCTCAGCTTTATTACACATTTGCAGCTGGCCAAGCATCAGATCCATTACACACATAAATGCACATGCACATAATACACCGGATCCTGCTCAAGGGTAGAAACCCTCCATTATGACTGCAGATGGACACACAGAAACACACATATAACGCACAGTCTGTCTGCCGGCGTGTCTGTAGGAAAGATGGCACTGAGCAGTGTTTTTTGTTGGAAAAAGACTTAAGACGAACCGTTAAAATGAAAGTATTTCCCATCACACACTTTCATTTACCGTTACGGTTCAGTCTTCATTTCTGGTACAAATCTGTAACCTTTTCTCCAATACCATTCACGGTCATACGATGCAGATACAGCGAAGGCATAATGCAACAAGGAACCCTGTTTTGCATATGGCAGTTGGTACATATTCAAATTCAGTCCATTGATTATGTTGTTGTTTTTTAATGTAGTCTCTTACCCTTGCTGGATCCGTGTCTCCTAAACCAATGGCCTGTGGTCATATGTTTAGTGGATGTCACACGTTATCTGGAACACTGACTCATGTTGAGTGAGTGAGCACGCTCAATGACATCATCTAGTGAAGCTATAACTGCGGGCGCTGACATCAATCAACGAAACAGCGCCGTCAATCACCTCGCATCTGTCTCCGAGACATGCAGGTGTGCCGTGTCCTGGTGGAAATATCTGCAATATGTTGCTTCTATAATCAGCCTTCAACGGGAGTCCGATTAACAGCCCGTGAGTGTGACATTCCCTCGAGTCTTGTTACGATTCCATAAAATGTACTTTAATACTGCTAATAAATCTAAAGCCGTGATGATGTCACCGTACATGAATTGCAGAGCTTGGCAGCACCCTTTACACTAGAGGTTAGATATCGGCTGGTTGTTAGTGAATTAATTCCATATGCTGCACCTGGGACTAGTTTGGTTGGACCGTTTGTTTGGACAGGGATCTTGTTTAAGACGTAGTAGATGAGTGGCATATGTTCAGCTGGAAAACTTTGTTTTGCAGAGCAGCAGGAGTCCATAGATAACAATAAGCAGACTGTGCTATGGATGTCGATATAAGGGCAGCAACCCACACATTTAGTTTCAAAACCGGGTATGATACAGAAAGCTTCTTACACCAAAAGAATAAATGATTTTCTAAAAATATAGTTTGATGCAACATAACAAAAGCTGTTTGTGGACTCTTTGTGCATTTTGTATTATGTCATCTTATATAGAAGCAGATGACCGTTTGCGATTGTTCAGGGCTGGGCGTAGGACAGGACATTTGGCATCTGCTTATCCCATCTGCTTTCCTACATCCTTCTTCTCCTTTTCTTTCTTCTGAATGCACAACGATCCATGTGCCATCCACATGTGCCAGACACCCTGTGGAGGCACCGCAGAAAAGGATCCATGCTCACAAAACAGTCGGTGGCATTTTAGCATGTTCGTTATTTCTCTAATCTCATTTCGATTGTCAATTTGTCACAGAAGTGATAGAAAAGTGTAGCTATTTAGTTATAATCTGCCGCTGTTCACCGGATGTTGAATACAATGTTGATGTTGAAGTGTGAAATCGTTTGAGACCCTGAGAATGAAAAGCAGGAGCCGAAAAGACAGAAGTGCTTTTGGTTCAAATGAGAACAGATTTGACGGAGGATGAATACATATATATATATAGAGAGAGAGAGAGTCAGGAAGAGAGGTGGTGAGAGCTGACTCAGGATGCCCGGGGGGGGGGCAGGGAGGCAGGAAGCAGTGGGGTGAGGACTAGTGACGGGAAGCAGAGGGGAGGGGGGAGAAACTCCTCTTCATCGTTGAAGACTTCTACTTCTGGTCATCATCAGCGGATTTCTCTGGGTGGAGGAGTAGCGTAGGGAGGGAAGAAGAAGAAGAGGAGGAGGTGGCGCTGACATCATCATCCACCTCCTGGAGGTCTGTGACTGCGTTACCAGCACGTTGTCTGTTAAGCTTTTAGCTGTCTGGTATCTGCGTTTCAAAGGGTTTCACATTCAAACAAAAGCTGTCAGGGAAAAGAAAATCTCATTCAAGAAATGCTGGTTCCACGTAAAGTGACCGTGAATAAGAGAACCGAATGGCAGGGACGAAGGAAGTGGAGCTCAATACTGCAAGGTGTGCAGGAACTTACGCAGCTTTCCTGCAAAGAGAGGTCTCTGTATGTGTGTGTGTGTGTGTGTGTGTGTGTGTGTGTGTGTGTGTGTGTTTTGAGGTTTTAAGAGGAAGATACCTCACGTGCCTCTTGTCCTCTGCTGCACTTGTAGTGTCACATGCCTCTGTTGGAATGCTGTGTATTTGTGTGTATGTTGTTGTGCGCTGTGTGTGCTTGTGTTTGCAGGCAGTTAGGAGAGGTCAGGTGGTGTAAGATTAGTGCGAGTCTGTGGTACTTTAAGTGGAGGAGATGTGGGTGCTTTTGTACTAAAGAAATCTGTACAATGTTGGCAGAGATCTTGCTTTTTAATGCTGGCTCCCAGAGTTTGTCAAACATATTCACATTTTTATTCGAGGAAACAGTTTAATAAAATTTATAGTAGTGTAGAATCATTTGTCCCATTTTGTACTCAAATAAAACTGAGAAAAACTAGAGGTGTACAAACTGCAGCCTACAAGATCACACTAACTATTGCTTATCTAGTGGTGTCAGTCGACATTTAAAACCTCCATGTTGTGCTATAGGAAGGAAATGTGGATGTAGCTGCTGCTGCTCTGTGTGAGGAACGGAGCAGCAGACGTGAACACTACTTGCCCCACAAAAGAGATGCTGCTAAAACGCTTACACGGGCTTTGCTAGATAGTGCATGTGCATTTCCCAAACTAAATCCCTTTCTTGAATAAATCCTCTGCCCCCCTTCCCTCCTCCCTCAAAGTAGACAAAAACAATCTGCAGCTATTGGCTGTCTTATGTTGTGCTCTCCCCCTTGGACCCACCCCCTCTCATCACCCCCTTCCCACCATTGCTCCCCTCTTTCTGCCCCAGCTCCTGTTCTGGCTTTCTGACTCTCAGGTTTCTCCCCACCCCCCCAGCTACCAACAACCCCCCTGGCCCCCCTTTGACCCCTTGGTACCCCCCCTATCCACCCCCTCACCCTCCCTCCCCCCGGGGCAAGCCTACAACTCTCAGCCCTTTGTGCCTTCTACCCCCTCCCTCCCTGCCTCCCTCCCTCCTCCACCGCTGCCTTTGTGTGCGAGAGGCCAGGAAAGGGAGAGAGAGGTGGGAGGCTGCAGAGGAAGAAAAAAGTGAGAGACGGGAGCATAAGCGAGGGATCCTACAGATCACATGTGAATCCAGAGCTTGACGCCTTATATTTGTACAGCTTTTGCTTGAGGATTAGCGCATTGAGTGAAGGCTGTGCATCTACGCCGCTGGTGTTGTCAAGCTCCTTTTGTTCCCCTTTCAGAAATACAGTAGCAACAGTGATGTACCATCATCATTTTGGCCATAGGTTGTATGTATGTATGTAGGAGGCCGTATAGAGCAATATATATGCAGTGTAGTTGTGTACGTGACCCGACTTTGTTAGAACTAACTCAACTACTAATTTAAAAGGCTTAGTGAGAGAGGTGGAGAGTGGTTAACTTGTCGGATGTCCATCCCTCCATTTTATTAGATCATCATTTTTGCCAGACTGTAAATAATACCTGAGATCATAAAATCTAGAAGTGAGACATCAGCTATCAGCGGTTCCAAAAAGAATCATGTGGCACCAACACAAATCTATTCAGAACTGAAGAGCACAACTTCTCCATTTGTTACTGGTCATTGATTTGCGGTCGTCAAACGGGGCCATCGAATGGCTGATTGCTTTAAAGTCAGTGTGTCCATAGTTTACCAGACGGGTTAGCCACACTCAATACTGATCCATCTAGATGTCTCAGCTTTGCTAAACAACACACACACACACAAATCATGTAAACACATGTGTAATGTGTGTGTGACTTTAAAGTGCAACACAACGGAACTAGAAGCTGGTGTGGTAACATACAAGTGGATGTGTCAATTTGCTTGTCTCAGTGTGTGTGTACTTGTATTTCGCATTTACTGTCCAAACCCCAGCAGCACAACTTATGTATAAGTCACGGTGGTGCATTTGCATGCGCATGTGCATGTGCATGCTTATCTGT